TGTGCACCTGGTGCGAATTAAAACTACTTCGATTGCGCATGCATATCAAGACGGAGGGGTGTGTGGGGAGGAAGTAGCTTGTGAAACCTGTGCAGCGTATCTGTCCAAAGTGATGCTCTGTTCAACGAGCGTTCCAGGTGACCGGTTGTCAGAAAGCTGATTGGATTAGTCAGAAAAACAACCCAATAAGTTTCAGTTTCCTTTGACAGTCACCTTTTACCACTCAAAGCTGTACATCCTGTGAAAAAGGTGGGGGGGTTCAATAAGCATCTCCCTGAAATTAGTTTTTGGAACTTGGGGACGTGTGCTTTACTATATTTGCTGTTGTCATGGTTTTATCAAGAGCCTGGACCCACATACAGATTAACCAGTCCAGAGAGACAAGGGAAAAAGTTTAACAGGGTTATTGAGAAGTTTTGTGGAGGTTCCAGTGTTGCTCTGAACACTGCTCAACCGGAACTGAAAGGTGAGGGGAAGACACTGCGGTTAGTTCAGGTTCAGTGGGAAAATTGATTCTCGAACTTGAAGAGGAGAAAAAGTTGGCAGACTCACGTTTCCAGAGATTAGGTTGACTCTTAGACTCTAGCAGGTGAGGAATGGAATGTGTTCCGGTGTTTGTCTCATACGGAGAAGGGCGGACAGGGTTACCCAGAATGCGGTTGCTTGTAGGTGGATGGAGAAAGACTGACTGCCACTCAGATTTTCCTGCGGTACGTGAACCGACTGTTGTGCAGATGAATCCCTTGCTCAGTGTGAAGCTCAAACGTTTCCTCGGGGAAAAGTGGATCCAAACCTCCGGTTTGTATCCTCAGCTCAATTTGAAGCTCAGTTGATCCTTCCAGGTAGAGAAGGTCAGAAAAATCCAGTTTGCAGGATGACTTCCTGCCGAGAAGCAAAAACAAAATAACAACGTTAACACAGTTTGACTCAGCAAAACTCAGCTTGGCTAGAGTACCCAAAACTGGCAAACACTCTGGCGCCGAGGTAGTGGCAGTCAGCAGCTTAAGAACACTCCATTAACGAGGTAACCATCAGCAGGTGTGTGAGGAGGAGAATCAGAACCAGGCGCCACCTGGTGGAGGAAGGAAGACAAACACACAAAAAAACAGACCACACAGACTGGAGTCCTAACAGCTGTGGGATAAACCAGCTACTGCGCATAGGCAAACAGAATAATAAGATCGAGAACACTCAAAAACTATGTAATAACTGTACAGAAAATACTTATTTATATACTTAAAACATTAAAGAATGCTAAACTTTTTGTTGTTTAGAAATAATTCAAGAAACTGATACGTTTTATATTCTCTCCATTGTGTTCCATGATGTCATCATTGGTCATGCTCAGAGCAGTCGCAGTAACGTTCTAAAGCCTATCCAAGTGTAGTGCTTTAGAATAAGTTTAGTGAACGGGTCCACCCCTTTGGAAGGGGTTTGGAAGTTCGTCCGTTTCAATTTGTATGTTTTCTAAACAAAAACAAGGGTTTGTTGGGCTCCATGTAAAGCCTTGAACTAAATGCTATTCCTGACATTTTTTATTGAAAAAGCTTCTTGGATGGGAAGCGAAACATCTTCAAACTTGGAAACTAAGTCCACTGGCTTGCTTTTTCACTTTTTTGGAATGACTATGACCTGGATGACTGCGAATCTTCACTAACGTAAGGAAGGTTGACAAGTTTGTCCTCTTTTGGCTACTCTGATCAAAAATGGTGATCCAATATGGCGCCTCCCATTTGGTGCACCACCCCCATGTATTTATGAACCAATAATTCTAACCTATCAGAACATTTTCCTTTTAGATGGGATTTTATTAGACATTTAAAGAATATTTAATTATTAAAGCAATGCTTGATTTTTGCCAATAGAAAAAGCTAAATTTCATTCACACTGTCCATTTCAGGAAAAACTGTTTTTTTACACCCTATGGTATCCAACGCCACAATGAAATGTTATTTCTTTAGAATATTTCCTTGTGCAAATTCAAAAATGCAGAACCATTGTTTGTCCACAGACCCTGAAGGATGCAAACGAGTCGACCCGGCAGGACTTCCAGCGAGAGGCAGAGCTGTTGACGGTCCTCCAGCATCAACACATCGTTCGATTCTACGGCGTGTGCACAGACGGAGAACCGCTGGCCATGGTGTTCGAGTACATGAGACACGGAGACCTGAACCGCTTCCTTCGGTGCGTAGAAGACCACACACTCACTCTCTGCTGTGGGTTGTCAAACCTCCGCTGCCCAAATGCTTGATCCTAATGCTGGTTAATGTTAGACCCTGAAAGTGTTGAATGAAAGGCCGCAGCAGCAGAACTGCCTTCATAGGGAATGTGTCAGAGTAGAAAAAGCACAGTAGGAACATTTCCCAGCAGTGAGCCACTTTTTACAATGCAAGGCCCTGAATTCAAAGCGGCTAAGTGGAGTGCAGCCATCGTGCCTTTCAGCGTGTACAGTAAAGCTGAAAAGATGGGTGGATAATAATATAGCTGGATGAATAAGGACATTATTTATCCCCTAAATGTGACTTTTAGGTAGAAAATTTGAGAAACTGCTCTTGCTATGAGGTTAAATGTTTCAGGAAGACTTAAATAGGTTTTCTGTTGCTAAACATGACAATAGACCAATCACACGCTCATTTGAACTCTACAGTCTTTTCTACAAAGAGCAGTTTATTCGTAGAGTTATTGTAACAGATTTTCAAAGTATCAAAGAAACTGAATGCAATCTTTAACCCTTTATAGGGCACTCAGTGAATTACTTTGAAAATCCAAATTTCAAGCCAATATGGTCATTGAAATCCAGGACAAGACCTTATTACCTTATGTAACGTGTCATGGTTATGGTTACAGTATGTTGTGCTTTACTTTGCTCCATGTTTCCTAGTTTTATTGGTTTAATTCCTATTTTGTTGTAGTTTCTAGATTTATGTTAGTTTTCTCAGGTTTTTCTGTTATTTTCCTCTGTTGCCCTCTTGTGTGTTCCTTTCGCCTTGGTTTCCTCATTGTCTCCTCTCATACCTGCTCCTTGTCAGCTCGTTAGCCCTCCCTTTGTCTCAGTCAGCTACATATACTCCCCCTCTGCTGTCACTCCTTGTTGGTTCCTTGTCGTTGCTGGCTTCTCATGTTGTTGTCTTCATACCTCGTCTCTCCCTGGCTCCTCGTGTTTGGTTTCCACTGATGTCTCCATGGTTCTGGTTTGCTTTACATTTTTAGTTGGATTTTTGGATTCCTGCCTTTGTTAAACAGTTTCCTTTGATTAAATCTGCAAGAACTCAAACATCAACCAAAACGTGACAACATTCAAAAAATTTTGATATTTTTATGGCAAAATTTTATGTTATTGTAATAACAAGAAACGCCAACTCGCCCCAAATATATTAAGAAAAATAACAAAGGTGCTCCTATAAGAAATTCATAAAAAACAGTAAAAGAGTAAAAGGAACACATTTTTTTTTTTTATGGTACAACATAAAATTAGAGGAATTAATGCTACGACGGAGTATTAGGGCCAGGTTAGAGATTTTTTTTATTCTTTTTATTTTGAGAATAAAGTTGTAACATTATGAGAAAAAAGTTGTAATATTACGAGAATAAAGTTGTAATATTATGAGAATGAAGTCATCATTCAACAACCTGTTTCAGGAAGAAAGCTTGAAGCTCCGCCCAGCAGATGACAGCCAACCAGCTCAACCAATCAGCAACCAGAGTCCACTTTGATATCCTGCCTAATTTGATGCTGCTGCTAAAAGATTTCCTTATTTCTAAAAACCGTTGCCAAAGTATACCTTCACATGATGCTCGACATTCCTCATTTTAGTGCAGAAAGTGCTTCTTTTAAGAGTTTTTATAAAATACAACTTCTTTCTTGTAATTTTAGGACTTTATTCTCTTAATATTATGACTTTATTCTTGTGATTTTATGACTATTCTCGTTGTGACTTTTGTCTCGTAATGTTACGACTTTATTCTGGTAATTTCATATTTTATTCTCATAATGTTATGACTTTATTCTGGTAATTTTACGAATTTATTCTCGAAATAGAAGAAAAAAAATGTATAGCCTGGCCCTAATACTCTGTCATATTAATGCTGATACTGGCACTTACATTTTTTAGTTTATGAACTTAAATATTATTGTTAACTAGGCTTAT